GTAAGCCAGGTCCTTGTGCTTGACATTTCATTACTAGTAGTTAGGGACTCCGTGCCAGGCTGTGGGGAGGGTGAGAACCCTCCACACCCCAAGGGACCCAGCCCCAGCCTCTCACCTCCACTTCCCAACCACCGCCATGCTCCAGGCTGCTTTATGGATGCTCAGGCCAAGCCTCAGTCAAGAATGAAGTCCCACGGAACCCAGATAATGTGGAACTTCGTGACCTTGGACTCTGGGCTCAACGGGAACCAGGACAGAGATCCTCAGCCTGCTTCTCCCAGTCTCTGGTGACTAAGGGATCACTCCCATAAGCCACACCCTGTCAGCACCAGATAATCTCCTCATCCACCACCCTCCAGAACTCACAGATGCTCCTCCCGGATGGGAGTATAAAAGGAGACTCCCAGAACCATGCCACCAGACTCCACTCCAGGCTGTGGGGCAGGTGAGGTGAGAGTACTCCCCATCCCAAGGGACCCAGCGCCGGCAGTCGACCTCCACTGCCCAACCACCGCCATGCTCTAGGCTGCTTTCCGGACTGGGCCAATGCAAAGCCTCTGTGCAACACATTATATTACACTTCCTACCCATTTATGCCACTTGTAGAGCACGGCAAGCTACCGAGAGTATCTCGCCCACATGGGCAGAGACTGGCAAGCTCCCCGTGGTGTATTCAATATGCCAAATATAGTAACGACAATAGATCTCATTCGTCAGACCCCAAAAGAGCCTCCAATCGTTGGGAAAAGATGAATAAGAAGAGGCTGTTAAAATCTCAGGACTGGGAGAAATAGAGACGTTACTGGCTCTTGCTTGAGTAATTCGAAGACGAACGGGATGACAGTGATACAGTGATACAGTGAAGGTTACCTCATACTTTTCTTCCATAGATTTACCATACAATTCTAGAAAGATGGACAAGATGGGGGCGGGGGAACATCAAATAAGTTCTATTATCTATTAAATCTCAGATGGGGTTACTCCTTTCTTTTGGACCTCCCTGTTATCTCCTCTCTCTCAAAATATTTATGAAGCTAAATGAATAAATATGGGGTATATTTTTAATTATATGTGTACTTTTTCAGGAGATATACTTAACTCCTTTATGTTCATCAGTGAATATATGCCACTCATTGCATACTAGGAAGTGAGTTAGGTCATAATAGGGAAATATGGAAACTGATAGGCATTAGATTATGCCTCACATATAAGAAAATATCAAATTACAGAGTAAGACTGATCAAAGTATAAAGTTGAGTGCTGTTAGTTTTAAATGAAGGGTTGAGCCAATAGCTACATAATGTCAGAGGTAAGCAAGATCATCATGGAATAGAATAGACAGATAATTCTTAGATTAGCATATTAAAATACTCATCACGGACTAGAGAGAGAGTACAATGAGTAAGGAGCTTGCCTTGCATTAAGCTCACCCAGGTTCGATCCCTGACACCACACGAGGTCCCCTGAATCCCACCAGAAGTGATTCCTGAAGCAAATAGCCAGGAGTAATCTCTGATAAATCAAAACAAACAAACAAACAAACAAACAACCCATAAAATCAAACAAACAAAACTCAGGCACTTAGCAGGGTTCTGAAGAAAATGAGGTATAGGGGAAAAAATCCGGTTATGATGGAGACTGGGGTGTCAACAAGGTAGGCAATGTGCTTATACCTTTTTGCTTTTCTATTTGATCTGAATCCTGAAGTTCTATTATTTCCAGAGAAATTATTCATATTCAATAATCTCTCTTATTTCAGGACTCACACTAGTAAATCTAAGAGTTACTCAGATTGCCAGAGAAGCAGTATAACCTAGTGTTTAAAGGGGTGGATTTAAGAGTTAGATGCTTGAGTTAGAATATTTACTCTATTACTTATTATGAACTTGGACAATGCCTTAACCGCACTGGTTTTGGATAATTAAAATCCACAAATCCTCATTAAAATTAAAATAGTGTAGTCTGGAGCAATAGTACAGCACATAGGGTGTTTGCCTTGCATGCAGACGACCTGAGATCTATCCCAGACATCCCATGTGGTTCCCTGAGCACTGCCAGGAGTAATTCCTGAATGCAGAGGCAGCAATAACTCCTGAGCATCATGTGATGCAAAAAGCCAAAAAAATAAAAAATTGTTTCACATCATAGTATGAGACTAATACAGTGGAAACGAAGGCTACAGTTGGAAGCTTGCCACAAGTGGTGGTAGTGAGAGGAGGGCTAGGACAGAGAAGGGATCACTATGACAAAGATAATTGGAAATAATAACTCTGGACAAGAACCGAATGCTGAAAGAAGGTAAAGGAATAAACATGATAACTTTTCAGTACCTGTATTGCAAACCATAATGCCGAGAGAGAGAGAGAGAGAGAGAGAGAGAGAGAGAGAGAGAGAGAGAGAAGAGATAGAGAAGTACCTGCTATAGATGTAGACTGGGAGGAGGGGAGCTGAGGGGAAACTGGGTACATTTGTTCACTGGTGAAGGGACAGGTGATGGACCATTGTATGACTGAAACCCAATTATGAACAACTTTGTAACTGTGTATCTCATGGTGATTCAATAAAAATATATTAAAAATTGCTTCATACTGGTAAAATACATATGGTAATAATTGTGTCTAGCTAAAAGAACTGCTAAAAGTATTAAGTTAGCAACCTGTGTAAGATGTTTAGCAGTGCCAGTGGCATGCTATTAATTTATAAAGTAAATATTGATAAGCCTGTAATGTTGTTGGCACTTTTTTTTCAGTGCCAGTTTACTGTGGTTGTAAAAGACAGAGAAGATATCTTACCTCTTAGCACTTGAGTTAACTGTTGATGGGAATTAAGAAATTTAGTCTACTCTCTTGCTTCATGCTATATCAATTTCTTTTTTATTTTTTATATAATATAGCATATTTATTTATTTATTTATTTTTATTTATTTATTTTTTATTTTTATTAGTGAAACACCATGAGGCACAGTTGTAGACTTACAAATGTGCTATATCAATTTCAATTCTTAATCTGACAGGTGCTATTTAGCTTATTTTAATTATTTTTATTTATTTAGACAAATATTACAATTATAAATTGCCTTTAAACCCAGTTTGCACCAAAGATTTATTTTTGTTCTTATTATTTATTGAGTGGTCTACAAGCAGTATTCAAGGGATCCAGGGCACACTTCTTGCAATATTTTGCCAACAGGATGAGAAATACAGTGCTTCTTGGGCCAAGCAGAACTGGAGGTCACCAGAGCCACACCTATCAATGATTAATAGCATTGAGGGCTATACTTGGTGGAGTTTGGGGGAGGGGGTGTTATGACACCAGGGATAGAAATTAGGGTCTTATACATATAAGGCATGATTCTGACTCCTGAGTTATCTATGTGACCCTGCAATATTATAATACATTGTATTCAGGGCACTTTACAATTTGGGTTTTGATTTGCATCATTTCTGTTTTTTGGGGACATACTGAGATATTGAAGATTTTATTACTCTATATATCCCTTTCTCCTACTATGTATCCAATGCTATGTTACAAAAAACAAGAAATAAAGAAGTGACCTGCCCAACTTGAGAGGATTTTTGAAGAGAATAGGAGGAAACAGAGCTTGAAATGACTATTAATAAAGGGTATCAAATACTCTTTGGGTTTGCTTCTAATATGTTCTAATGAGAATATATTGTAGGTAATGAAAGATGGACAGGAATGACAGGATTGTTACGCTACTTTAGGAAGAAAAAGCCAGGTTCATTGTTCAGGATGGCTTATGAATGAAGAGAAGAGACTAAAGGCATCAATTTCAGTTAGAAGACTTTCCATTAGTCTATGACTCTCAAACTTGAGTGTGTTTCAACATCCTATCAAGTAATTGCTAAGAGGCTGCTTGATGGACTTCAGTCTCAGAGTTTATGATTCAGTCTGTGGGGACTGAGAATTTTCATTTGCATTTCTAATAACTTATTAGATGATGATGATGATGATGATGATGATGGTATGGAAAAACATTCAACTAGGAGAGAGATTATGAAAACACAGGCATAGTGATTGGATCTGAGAGAGGGAAAAGTATGATAAAAATGCAGGAAGGGAAGAAACCAGTATTATAACACAGTTTCATAACAAATCCTAGGAAAATATGTGAGTCCCTTTATCGGGTATATGCCTGGATATTCCTGGTCTAGAATATAGCCTTTGAGTAAAATTAATAATGAACAATGCAGAGGATAGGGATAGTAGAAGGAGCTTGAATATTTTTGTGTCATAGCCATCAGTGTTCAAGATCTCCTCCATTTGTGTGTTCGGAGGTCACTTCTAGTGGTGTTCAGGGAACTTGTCATGTCAGGGATTGATCTGAGGCTTGAGTATTCATAAGGTAATGCAAGGCAAGAATCTTAACCTCTTTACTATCTTTCTTGCCCAGAGCTTGAATACTTTGGAAATAGAGATCATACTCTGCGTTCTCATGAGTTGAATACAGGTGTGAGGAGATAGCTCAATGAGCTGGTTTGTGTGTTTGGCAGGCAAGAGACCTAAGTTCAATCCCTAGCATCACAGGAATAAGCCCTGAGCACCTCTGAGTATGGCCCGCAAATACCCTATAAGAATATATATATGGGCTGGAGCGATAGTATAGCGGGTAGGGCATTTACCTTGCATGCAGCCAACATGGCTGACTCGAGTTCGATTCCTCTGCCCTCTCTGAGAGCCTGGCAAGTTACCGAGAGTATCTTACCCGCATAGCAAAGCCTGGCAAGCTACCCGTGATGTATTCAATATGCCAAACACAGTAAAATTGTAATAAGGAAAAAGTAAGTAAAAGTCAGTGTGGAGCATGCAGGGTAGTTCCAAGTACAACCCCAGAGATCACCAATGCAATTTCTGAGGGTAAAGAGTTTCACTGATAAAGTTTTTCAACCCCAACCTATATAACTTTCCTACTGCAAGGCTTCTGCCCCTGGAATCCTGTTGTTCTTGACTCTATTTTAACCTATGAAAATTTTTCTTACCTGCCTCTCTCCACTGGGCCGCCTGTAGCTGAGCAGAAGCTCCACAGCACCCACCACTTCTTTACGGATGGCATAGAGCAATGCGTCACCTACATAAACACTGTGGTTTAGCAATAGTTCCATGATCTCCAAGTTTTCATTCTCAATGGCAATGAGGAGGGCACTCCGGCCCAAAGGATCCATGCAGTTGATATTGACATTGTAGTAAATTTCAGCCTCCTGTAGGGCTTGCTTCACGGTGGCATAGTCTCCTTTCTCTACTGCATTGAGAAAGGCCTTCTCTGCTGCAGATAGTTCCGTCTCGGCCCTCACAATTTGCAAGGGAATCCGGTCTCTATATGGTGAGTAGTTTACCTTTTTGTAGTATAGTTGGGCCATGTTTCATTACAATTTGAAAATCTGAATGAGGAGAGAAAGGGAGACAAAGCATATTATTAGGTACTTGAAAACCACAAGTAGACAGTTATAGAGGCAGCATTGCTAAAAGATTGAAAAATCTCGAACTGTTAATGCCGCACTCTTTCCGCTTTTGCAATAGTGTATAGCAGTCTGGGACTGGAGAAAGAGTATGAGGATTAAGGCAGAGGCATTGCAAATGAATGACTCAGGTTTGACTCCTGCTCCACGTGTGGTCCTTAGAGCCTTCTAGTGACCCCTGAGTATAGAGACAAACCTAATTCCTGAGCACAGCTGCATGTGGCCCCCAAAATAAGACAGTATTTTGCAGAGAAAATACAATCTTTTGGATCAGAAAGACCATGTTTCAAGTCCCATCTTTATCATCTATGTGACCTTGAATGAATTACTCAAAATCCTTTGTAGTCTAGTTTATTATTATTATTATTAAAGCAGAGGAATTGAACCCGGCTCGGCTGGAGCGATAGCACAGCGGGTAGGGCATTCGCCTTACAAGCGGCCAACATGGCCGACCCGAGTTCGATTCCTCCGCCCCTCTCGGAGAGCCCGGCAAGCTACCGAGAGTATTCGATATGCCAGACACAGTAACAACAAAGTCTCCAATGGAGACGTTACTGGGCCCGCTCGAGCAAATCGACGATCAATGGGAGGGCCTTTACCTTTACCTTTTTATTATTAAAGCAATCACTATCAATAATATTGATATCAGTTACTTACTGACAACTGTAGACCAGATCTGATGCTAAAGAACAACCTCTGTGTCAGCAATTCCTTCATAAAATATGAATGAAAGAATGCACTATCAAAGCAAAGGTCACAGGCTAAACCTCTTGTTATGTGAAACAAGGCAGTGTATTCTTTTCTTCCTGTTGAATAAAAATATTTATGACAATACTTAAGATTAACATTACTAAGTTGGAGCTCCCGTCTGGCCAATTTCATTTGAGCATTAGTCCTGTGTCATATGATAATTTTTAAGATTATATTTTTTCAGATTCAGGATTGCTATCCTGTTTCAGTGCTTAGTGAAACCATCTTGCTACTGTTCACTAGGGAAGACTGCATGTAGATTCCAATATTCCAAAACCAGCTTTAAATTATAGCATGGACCCCTCTTCCCAGTCATCATTTTCTCCTTCCTCCATTTCAATCTAAATAGCCGAAGATGTGAGATTATATTTGATTTATTTCTGAGAAATGAATGGTTCAATTTATATGTATCATATCAAAAGCCATGTTGCAAGCTGCGGAGTACCACGTGGCTACAGTTGGCATACCCTGAGGCAGTGGTGTAGGCCCTGGGACTTGGCCATGCCAGCAGTGGCAGCTTGGCTCATAGATGGTGAATGTTGGCAGTGAGGCAGGGGGACCCCTCGGTTTGCAAGTGACCTCCTGCCCGGCCCTGGCTTCCCTTCCTGGGTGACTCAGGGGGGAGCTTGGGCTTGGCCTGCAGGGTGACAGGATGACTGAGATGGCAAGTGAAGATGTACATGCTTAATGAGGACCGGCAGTGGGACGAACAGGGCACTGGCCATGTGTCATCTGGCTAAGTAGAGGAACTGAAGGGCAAGTCTCTGCTTGTCAGGACTGAGAGTGATGTGGGACCGGAGATGAACCACCTCTGGCACCACCATGTAAGTTCATCTACTGACTCTGCTCCAGAGACTCAGAAATAAATCTCAAAATAGATGAACCAGCTGCCAAAAGTATTAGGACACCCACTTATGTCTGAGACATCTGGGGCACCCCGGAGAGGAGTGGGTTAGCCCCATGCTTTGCAAAACAGAGCCCTGGCAGCTGTTTGTTCCCACACTCCAAAATCACTGCCATGCCTCCAGACTCCATCATATTGGGACTGAGTTCACTGTCCCAAATCTAGGCTATTGTCTCAAGAAGTAAGTGAAGACTCTAGTCAAGAACTGATTGCTGGAAGTAGGTAAAAGAACAAACATGATAACCTTTCAGTACCTATATTGCAAACCATAATACCCAAAAGGAGAGAGAGGACAGAGAGTGAGGAGAGAGATGAGAGAAAGAGACAGAGAGGGTCAGGGAGAGAGAGGGATAGAGAGAGAGAGTGAGAGTCAGAGTGAGTGAATAAAAGTGCCTGCACAGAGCCTGACTGGAGATGGTGGTGGGAGGGAAACTGAGCACAATAGTGGTGAGAAATGTACACTGGAGAAGGAGATGTTGGAACATTATATAACTAAAACCTTATCATGAACAATTTTTAACTGTTTCTAATGCTGATTTAACTTTTTCAAAGCAGGTTGCATTTAGTAGACTAGATTTTAAAGTAAAAATCTATTATTAATTCAATCACTGTAGCACTGTCCTCCAGTTGTTCATTAACTTGCTTGAGCGGGCACCAGTAACATCTCACAACAAATTGTGAGACTTGTTGTTACTGTTTTTGGTATATCAAATACATCACGAGTAGCTTGCCAGGCTTTGCTGTGCAGGCAAGATACTCTCAGTAGCTTGCCAGACTCTCTGAGAGGTGGAGGAATCAAACCAGGGTTGGCTGTGTGCAAGGCAAACGCAGTACCCACTGTGATATCTCTCTAGCCCTAATTCAGTAAATGTATTAAAAATTCTCAGAGTAAATAACTATGTAAATCACATTCACTGTATCACTCTCATCCCATTGTTCATTGATTTATTCGAGTGGGCGCCAGTAACATCTCCATTAATCCCAGACCTAAGATTTTAGATTTTAGTAGTTTCTCCTTACTGGTCTTTCCCAACACTGCCATATTGGAAGCTCTTTCAGGTTCAGAGGAATGAGACCCGTTATTGTTACTGTTTTTGGTATACCGAATATGCCATGGGTAGCACATTAATGAAATGTTTCTCTTAGAGAAGAGCAACTAAGTAATCTATGTTTTCAATTGTACACAATGAATCATATTATAAAGCTTTTGTCATATACTTTACAGATCAAATTAATGTGTATTCGTCATTGGTTCTACAAGAAAGAAGTAGTTATAGTCCCAAGGTAGGGACAGCTAACATAATTTCCTAACCAACGGGTGATTTACTCCCCCTTCCGTCCCATCTGTGAAACCTTTGGGGCCATTTGGAGGTTGAATTTATATGAACCCATGTATACTGTATTATAAACCTGGTTTTCCAGAAAAAAGAAAATGAAAATGTGTACTTATCTTGTGTGCCACCTAGATATGAGAGATGAAGATATGGAACTTCTACAAACATTTCTAATTTTCTCAGGTAATTACATGCTTTGGCAGGAGATGTGTATATTATACCATGTGATATTTGCAATTTATGTGCTTTTAATCTTTTGTAAAGTTATTATTTGAAGGTGAATGTGGCTTCTTGCCCTGAACAGGTTCAAATGATATATTTCTCTTCGCATGAAAAGTCTCAGGTGATCCAGTTGTTTGTCTTGGGCATCACTGATATTTTCTTATGCTACTTTCAAGTAACTCAGCAGTGGCAAAAGGAAAAGTCACCTAGAATTAAGCGTTTGTCATTAAATGACAAAACTCTTTAATAGTACTGATTGTACATTCTCCCTCATCTTTATTACTAACTAAAGGAAAGAAGAGACAGTATGACCTCCGAAAGCTTTGGTGGGAAACATTCTCCCCATAGCCAAACAAGGCCTGCAAAATCATATGGTTTGGCCCTGTGGTGCATTTGGCCTGCTAATGATATTTTAAATATCCAAGTGACCCTTGAGAGCAGAAAGGTTCCCCACCCTGCCCTAAAGGAAGGCATAACAGTCAAAATCAGCTTATATTTATTTAGTTAAACAATACTAACACAGTGAAAGTGTGCCCAGCAATGTTAGTTATCTTTGGAGGATAAAGAGGTTCCTCCCCTCATCATCTGTCACTTAGACTATTACAAAATCTTACACTTGTCCCATTATTTCCCCTCCAGAACATCTCCCACACTACTGCCAAGTGATCTTATGAAACACAAATAGAATGCCATTTTACTACTCTTCAGTCAAATTCATGCTTCTCTTGTATAAAATCAGTATTCCTTCATTAGGTCTACTAGGTCTTGGATTATTGTTAACCTCTACAACCTCATTTAAGCTGCTCTCACCTTTATACACCATTCTTTTGTTTTGTGGGTTCTTTTCCAATTGTTTCAACATGCCAAAAGTTTTCCCATCTTGAGACCTTTGGTCACTACCTGGAACAATCTTCTACAACTTTTATCATTTAACCCTCAACAAATTGTTATTTCCTCAGAATAACCCACTGTAAACACTTTGAAAAAGTTTCTTCATGCTATTCTCTCCATTGTACTATCTTCTTTTTCTTGTTGGTGCTTATAACAACTTGCTATAGCAATTCTTATAACAAAGCTTACAAAATATTGCATATTTTGGGGGCTGGGGAATAGTACAGGGTTTAGGGTTAAGGCCTTGCATGCAGTCACTCTGGGTTTGCTCACCAGAACCACACTGATTCCTAAGTATCACTGGGTGTAGCCCTGGATGCCTCCAAGTATTTTTGTGGCAGCCATGATGTTCCTCAACACAACAAGGCTTGAATAGTACAATGACATTTGCCTCCAGCACTGAAACACTGACCCTTGAGCACTACTTAGGAGTCCATCATCAAAATTAAATTTTTAAAACCATAGTTCTTTGATTTCTTTGTCCTACTGGTTAATTAATTTGTACTATGCAATTAGCCTTAAATGGACCAATTGAATTTGTTTTGTTTTTCTGAAAAACAAATTTCCTACATCTGATATAACATGGGTGCTTATACATATATATAATATAAAATATGTCAAGCATATATGTGAGAGATAATAGAATACCATGGAAGGTTTATATATATTTAATATATGCTATATACATATATATTTGCCACCTTATCATAAATTTTAGACAGACTGAAAAATGTTCTTAAGTTGCTGTTTTATGATTATGACCTTGCACATAACTTCATTCTACACTCTGCACTTAAACT